AATACTAATAATGGTATATTTCAATTTTCCTCCATGAGGAGTAGTGTGGACCCAATGAATTGCTTTCTCACTTCCTTGGAATACAAGACTGTGTCTCCTTCATCTATTTGTCCTTGGTTCCTGACACCAGTTACTGTAAAGACTAAGTGTTATGAATTGAATTGAATTGTATCATTTTTCAGAAATTGAAATAAATTTAAAAATTAAATTGTAGCATAAATATTTTTTAAAGTTCCCTTCTATTCTTTTTTTAAAATATATTTATATTGATTTCAGAGAGGAAGGGAGAGGGAGAGAGATAGAAACATCAATGATGAAAAAGAATCATTGATTGGTTGCCTCTTGCACACCCCCTGCTGGAGATCAAGCCCACAACCCAGGTATGTGCTCTGATCAGGAATTGCACCATGACTTCCTGGTTCATGGGTCAATGCTCAACCACTGAGCCATGCCAGTCAGGCCATAAATATTCTTTAGAGTCCTTTTGTTAGTATATTCATTCAGTCTACAGTGTTTCTTATAAGACACTATGCCTACAAAATGTAGGACAATACAAATAATATGAAGATGAATAATATAGAAATGAATCATTCATTTTCTTCCCTCAATAAATGTACTTCGCACCCTGGACTCCCTATAATTAGAATGTGTGCACTGGAAATAGCCATAATCCCCTGCTATTATGTGAAAATATTGGGGATTATTTATACTAAAAAAAAAAAAAAAACACCTCTCCTTTATGTTTCTTAAACACATACTTAAAGTATGTGCCTAGAATTGATCCTATTAATCACAGGCACACAGAGCACATGAGGCAATCCTATGTTTGTATCTGTGCAAAAATAACTTTAGAACAGAATTTAAATGTGCCAGGATCTAAACTTCTTCCAGATGTATGCTTTCACTGACTTTTGGAAAATTGCTTCTCAGTGCCCTCTCACAGTACACAGACCACATTATAACATCCAGCGGCCACTTTGCACTTTTATGGAATCCATAGCGCTGACTCATGCTGTCACTGTCATCAAAATAATGTTGTAAATACCCTCTCATCTTTCCATGCCGCCTGGCTGATTTTTCCCTGAGGAGGCTTCACACGGGACTTTTTATGTAGTTTCCCAAATTCCTGCTCTCATTAATGATTTTCTTCTAAAACTGGTTAAAACCATTATTTTCCCTCCAGGGGCTTTTACCGCTCTTGAATTAGATGGTGTTTATTAGGAAAACCCTTCTTAATGGCATGCTTGCTATGGTTACATATATTTTTCTTTAAGTCAGCAGAAATAATTTGGACTTCAAAATTCTTCGGGTTTTATTGAGGCCTGATTTGAAGTGCTCTGGGAAGAACGTGTCCCCTCTAAGCAAAATCATTATCTTCATGGAGAATTGGCCAACAGGGTGACCTTCCCTTCTTCGTGGCACAATCTCAGTATTGGTTCTCAATGCTGCATAACAAATACCACAAACCTAGAAGCTTAAAACAACACATATTTGTTATCTCACAGTTTCCTCGGGTCAGGAGTCTGCTTGTGACTTAGCTGGGTCCTCTGCTCAAGGTCTCAAAAGGCTACAAGATATTGTCTGGGCTGTGTTCTCAGTTAGAGGTTTAAATGGGGAGGATCTGCTTCCAGACTCACTCAGGTTCTTGGCAGAAACCATTTCCTGGGGTTTGTAGGAATGAAGGCCAGGATTTCTTACTGGCTATTGGCTGAAGGCTACCTTTAGGTCCTGGAAGGCCACCCACAGTTCCCTGCCATGGGGCCCTGTCCATGGGTCATTCACAACTTGGCAGTTTACTTCTTCAAGTCCAGGAGGAGGGTCTCCCTTTGCATCTAGCAAGACAGGTTGGGGTATGTGTGTGTGTGTGTGTGTGTGTGTGTGTGTGTGTGTGTACATTATGACAATCATAGAATTGATGTCCTATCACTTTTGCCATAATATTCTTGTTTAGAAGAAGTCACAGGTCCCTCCCACACTTAAGAGCAGGGGACTCTCCAAAGGGATGAACACAATTATTAGGGGGAGGGGTGTCACTCTAGGGTCTGTCCATTGCAATCCCATTGAAATGAAGTACTTAGAGAATGACTGACTCTACTTAGATATGAATGACTTTTATTACTCTTCTGGAGTCTGGCTGTCTTAAAGGAAGTTTGCAATTCTCTAATCAAGTCCGTCTTAGTTCTCTTGTCTTGAAAAAAGAGGGAAGTTGTGTAGAAATTCTTGGGCAATGCCTGGGGAAGCGACAGGACCCAGGAGGGTAAAGAAGATTAAGTAGAGAAATAATGACCTCGAGGCTATTAAGAGATCAAATTTTCAAACATTTAGGTATCACTGGCTGATGGTTTGTTTGCTTGTTTTGTGGTTTATTTTGCTTTGATTTCCCACCAATATTTAGAATTGCTTGCATTTCCTCCATCTCTCCATTCAAGTTGGCTGTTCTGCCGACTTCAACAGTTTACAGAATCGTCTCTCTTCTTCACTAGTTCTCTCTGCATGACACCTAACCCCTCTGAAGAGGGAGGGTCTGTAACTGCATGCTTTTGACTTCAGAACGTGAACACTGGGATGGAGCTTGCCATCTGCCTTAAACTTCTTAAATAACTCTTTACCAAGACAAATGTGGTTTATAGGTAACAACCTGGGACATTTCTGGTCTCAGGACAGGAAAAATAAAGGAACCCTTAAGTATTAAATACTTTGTTTGCTAACAGTGTTTGTGGTGAATGAAAAATTGAACTCTAATTGTGTGGGAAAATAGGGAAGTGATTTGCATGCCAATGGCCAAGTACAGACTTCAGAGACTTAGCAGTTTTGAAACTGGTATTTATGAACATCTGTTTTTCCTCCATAAATTTTAATATGGATTTCATCCTTTGAAACCTACAAAACTCCCAGGTGCTTCTTCGGTCTTTATCTTGGGAACATGGTTTTAAGAAAATAATGTTTAAGCCTCCTTTTTTTCATTAAACGCATTTGAAGTCACTTTTGTTGAAACAACATTCTGTATATACAGTGCCTGATGGAATGCCTAAAATATGGTATTAAATGTTAGCAACTTGAAATGCTGTGTTCAGCATGTGGAGCCTCCAAAGCATCCAATCCAAGCACATGAGCTGTAATAATCTTAATAAAGGATGTTTGAAAAGTATTCATTTCTAGTCCCAGTTTATACCTTTCATTATTCCACATGTATTTATGTAATGCTTGCTTATGTGACAGGCACTTTTAGGTGCTGAGTTTGCAACAGCCAATTCAACAGACAAAACCTCTGCCCTCGTTGGGTTTATGTTCCAGTGAGTGTGAATGTTCTCTAAAAAGAAGTCCTCTTAAAATTCTCACTATACTGTTTGTATAGTCTATCCATAAACTTCTCACTGGGCCTGCAAACCAATGACATTAATCCATTCCTGATGTCGGACTAGAGTCTGGGAATACAACTGTGAACAAGGTAAATATATGTCTACCCTCAATGAGCTTAGAGTCTAGCATACTTCTCACTTCTGTCAACAGATATAGACCTGGGAAACCATTTGTCCTGGGAAACCTAGTGTGTCCAAGAGCTGAGGGGTGAACTGCTTATGGTGGACCTAAAATAGAGGATGATCAAGTAGATACCCATATGGTTATCTAATTTACTAATTAGAAAAGGTTAACTAATTTACTAATTTACTTGGCAGAAATATGGGTATCTACTTGATCATCCTCTATTTTAGGTCCACCATAAGCAGTTCACCCCTCAGCTCTTGGACACACTAGGAGATGTTACTATGGGTAAGAGAGAAGAGTATGTGGGCCAGCCTGGCAGGTGTGGCTCAGTGGTTGAGCATCAACCTAGGAACCAAGGGGTCACCGGTTTGATTCCCAGTAAGGGCAAAAGCTCGGGTTATGGGCTCAATCCCCGGTCGGGGGCATGCAGGAGGCAACCCATCAATGATGTTTCTCATTGGTGTTCCTATCTACCCCTCTCCCTTCCTCTCTCGCTCTAAAAATCAATAAACATATTTTTTAAAAGAGTGTGTGGGCCAGTGGAAAAGAAATAAAATCACAGCTCAACAGAGGATAAACACATAAGTTGGCTGGGCACGTGCAAGGCTAGCAAGAACATTAATTCCCTCTTAGGAAAGCAACCTTTTAAGAGTGCAGTTCTGGCCGTCCTGTAGCAAAGGATACACGTCATTTACATAATAGCAAAGCCTCAAGAGTACAGTAGAGCTATTTAATTTGGTTAGGCTAATCATTTTCCATCCATTCACAGTGTAATGGAAACTCTCTCCTCTGCCTCTTAAATAGGGACACACTGGCACAATGCCACAGGACACATAAAACATGGTCAGTCCTCTTGGTGTGTCAATTCTACTCAACCATTTGGAGGGGAAAAGGTTAACTACTTTACTGGTATGTAATTTAAGACATTATTTCCCATTAAAATCAATAAAGCCATATTAGGAAATAGATTGTAAAATTTGCATAGACTTTTAAGATAAAGCATACAACTAAAACAATACTGGGGCCAAGGGCTGAAGGATTAAGCCCTTCTTCATGTTTTCCACCAATCCCCTGCAAACCAACCTAATAAAAATAATTTTTTGATAGAGATAATTGATTCTCAAGTTCATGTCAAGGGTAACTAAAAGACAAATCCCCCAATAGTGTTCCTTTTAACCACACTGCCACCTGGATATCCCTTCTTTTTAGAAATTCTGGCACTGTGTCTAGATGCAATAACATTCTGGGTACTTCAGGCTCTAACCCCTCACCACTTACCCTGGTGCCCAGCCCTGGGGCCCGTGCCCACTGCATTTAAGACACTCCCGGAAGAGTCTGAGATGCTATTCTTTTCCACAGTGAGGGGAGAGGGGTCTCCTCAACACTCCCTCCTCGTTCTTAGCACTGAGATTGAGCATTGGCCATCCTGCGTCCAAGGCCCCCTTTCCAGTTTCAGGATGCCCTGCAGCAGGCAGATCCGCTGATGTTCCCTGTGCTTTGTGTTCCTGAAACAGGATCTGGACCAGGTACAGCTCCATCTGGAAGAAGTGAGGTTCTTTGACGTGTTTGGCTTCAGCGAAGCAGCAGGAGCATGGCAATGCTTCATGTGCAACAACCCTGAAAAAGCAGCCGGTGAGAGACACCCCCTTACTGCTCCAAATCATGTGTGCCCCTGGGGATTGACAGGGACCTGTGAGCCCCCCTGTTCTAGTTGGCCCTCTTCTTGCATAAACATTCTCAGTTGTAATAACGCGCAGAGGTGTGTCCGATGGCCACTGCTTAGTTCTGAGAAAGGCATCTCATCAAAGTGGGAGTGAGGAAAAGAGCTGCTGGAAGGGAGAGACACATAAACCAGAAATGAGTGAGAAAAACAATACCTTATATGTATAGCTGCCAAGAAAGCAGTACTGGCCACTTCGCCCTGGAACCATTCTTCCTTTCCACACAAATGACCATGAGGGTTTGAGGGAAAAGGAGCATTCTGTCCAGAGCCTCAAAAAAATGAGAGAGCACTTAATGAATGAATGAGCACACAGACCATGACATCTTCCAGTCATCCCTTCCACTTTGCTTTACAGTTAAACCGTGTTAAAAAAAAAAAAAAAAAAGTTAAACACTTAAAGAGAAAGGACTTATTTGAGGAGTAACTTCATGACTGGTTATTCTTTCCCTTCCTTCCTGCTGCCCACGGAATTTAGTCTACTTCCCTGCCCTAAAAATAATAATTGTTCGTGAATATGAGCCAAGCTCTGTGTTAAACATGTCAGATACTTCATTTAATCTTCACAGTAATCTTATGAGGTTAGTACTCATATTATCTCCGTTTTTACTGGTGGTGAACTGACGCATGGAGCAACTTGGTAGGAACTCCAACCTGCCTCCAGAGCCCACAGTCTTTTCAAAAATATATATTTTATTGATTTTTCACAGAGAGGAAGGGAGAGAGATAGAGAGTTAGAAACATCGATGAAAGAGGAACATCGATCAGCTGCCTCCTGCACACCTCCCACTGGGGATGTGCCCGCAACCAAGGTACATGCCCTTGATCAGAATCGAACCTGGGACCCTTCAGTCCACAGGCCAACACTCTATCCACTGAGCCAAACCAGTTAGGGCCAGAGCCCATAGTCTTAACCATTTCACCCTTCTGTCCCCTGGTTATACTGGCCCCAATCTGACCAGTAGATATTGGGTGGTAATAAGCCTATGTTCAAAAGTGATGCTGGCCTCGGAGTATGTCATCAGTGATTTGCCCTCGGAGAGGACACAGTTCTCAACACGAGCACTGCTCAGGAACTGCGATGCAGACCAAGGAAACAGTGTAAAAACACTGTTGAGCCCGGCTGGTGTGGCTCAGTGGTTGAATGTTGATGCATGCACCAAAAAGTCACAGGTTCGATTCCTGGTCAGAGCACATGCCCAGGTTGTGGGCTCGCTCTCCAGTGGGGAGTGTGCAGGAGGCAGCCAACTGATGTTTCTCTCTCATCGATGTTTCTGTCTCTCTCTAAAAAATCAAGAAAAAAGCAAAACCACTGTTGAGCACAAAGCCACTTTGTACATGAGCCATCCTCGAGAAAGCCATTGATTATACCACCTGTACCTGTGCCTTTAATTTTAGAATTTTTGCAGCTTAGAGATTACCCAGTGTGGCAAGTTGATTCTCTTGCAAACTGCCAAAATGTTGAGGCTGAATAGGGAAAAAAAAATGTGTTTATTTGGCCAGATGGAGATGTGAGGGGATTGCAGAGAAGCACCAATTAAAATGCATTACCCCATGGAAAAGGGGTGGATGGAAGAGGTTGGCAGATAAGGATGCAGCCTTGGTGAGGCAGATGGTTGGCTGGTTAGTCAGGATTGAGCTGATCCAGAGTGAACACCGCAACTTTTAAAAAGTTAATTTGAGCAAATGAGGAATTGGGGAATTGAATGTCTCCATCGTAAACATTTCTAATTTCACCTAGGAAAAGAGTTTAAAAGAAATGTTGAGAACATGGTGAAGTAAGGTGCGTATCATAGATGGTTCTGAGCCGCCTTTCAGAATTTTCATTCCAAGCGAGCTGGGTTCTTGTTCAATAAACAGTTCATCGTATCTGGCCCAGGGAGGCCTCGGGAAAGGGATGGAAAGTTAAAAATACAAAGTCTTCCTTTAATATATGTTTTCTCAAATTCACTGCCATGCACTTGAAAAGAATTATTTTGCACATTCTTTCTTATTTGTGTTTCTCACAGTTAAATATAGACTGAGAACATATAGCAATAAAAATTCAAACAAGGCCAATATTTTATAGCAGAACATATTGAATCAAAATGTTTGGCCCTGAGAACTTCAGTGTGCTTGGATTTCTTTGCTCATTTCCTTTTGCTACATGAAAGGGGGTTTGCGTCGGAGAGAAGTCCTATTTTAAACTCAATTTTCACCAAAAGCTCTTGAATCCCTGAAAATTTTACATGGTTGTTGATCTTATCTTATTTTTATATAAGCATATAAATTATATATTTAATCTAAGTGAAAGGTCTAACAAAATACTGATGGTACATATATTATTCATGGATATAATATTTGCATTCATATCCTGCTATAATTGTAAGTTTAAAGATGATCAAGACATAGGAATACATGTTTTGTGATTTGTTATGTATGTCTGGCATAGTAGTTGCATCTCATTTTTCATTTATGTAATGCGCGTTTATTGAGTTGGTTGAATCCCTCCTACAGGCCACATGTTGAATAATGAATAAGTACAATATCTTTGCTCCAAATGGAGACATAATCCAGTTAGGACTAGAAGACACAGATAGAAAAATCTAGCATACTTCCTAGTATATTTTTAGCACGCAATAAATACTTGTTGAGTAAGTGAATGAAAGAATGAATGAATATTTAGAAATGGCAAAGCCAAAGCCTTGAATATTAAAGTCTGATGTTTCAAGATTGTAATTATGTGTTAAGTATGTCAAATACATCACTATTCCACACCCAGTAATCTGGAATCTAGTCAATGGAGGTTGGAGCTTGTTTCCTCCTTGAGAGAAGTCACCTCATGTAACACGAAGGGTCCACTTCCCTTTCGGTCTAGTGTTGGACATTTGTGCCTAGTCCTGTTACTCCTCTGGGTTTCAGTCAGCCTCAGGAAGGAGGGTCTACAGAAGTAGGATTGAAGTGTAAGGCAAAAGGCTGAAGAAACTGGATTTGGGTTTGTTTTTTAAGATACTGACAAATGGTACAGTAACTGTTGTCAAGGATGTATTGTTCCAGTATTGAAAAAAAAAAAATATTTGCAGCATTTCCATAAATGAGGAACACACACAAGGCAATTAGAAGTTCAATTAGACATAATGAAATATAAATAGTTCTTAATAGTGTGGAGATGGAACTATGGGACACCAGAAATTGACAGCCAATCAGCTGGCGTACATGGTCACCTCTTCAGGTAAAAATCTCATCACTCCACCAACTCTACCACCAACACACAGAAACATTTCTGTTTAATATCTGCTAGTCAATAAAATATATTTTTATCCAATTAGATGCAGGTAAAGTCAGAGGAAACTGAATGCTAGAGTAGTGTTAAGGTCCAAAAGTGGCTGTAATTGTTGGCATTTATCATGCTAACTCTGTGCTAAACTTTACATGCATTTTTTTCTTATTTTTTCATCATTAAGTAATTTTCCCAAGGTAACACAGCTACTAAGCAGAACTAGAATTTTAAAATCTAGGTTAATTCATCAACCTGAAACTTCCATCTCTAGACCAAATCCAAGTTAAGGACATGGAATATTGGAAATTCCAAGAATGATTATTCAAATTTCTTATCATGGAAAGACCAACGAGTGAGCTTCCTCCCCGCCAACTTATTCTGCTTAAAGAAGAGCAGGGACTTTGTGCACAAATGTGTGAGTCATGATTACATGCGGGAAATGGTTACATTAGAAACTATGTCCAAACTCTCCAATTGCTGATTCAGTTTCTGATAATCAGTTTATAAAAGTCCTGAGTAGATTAGAAAATTACTGAAATAACTTAAGAGTCCTGGGGGACCTGCCTGGTAGTGTGTCTTGCCAATCCCTTTACGCCACACGAACGGGAGGATGGAGATTGAGCAAGTAGATTTAACAGAACAGCTCTTATTTCTGGAAAACCAAGCAAATCTGCTTCTCAGTCACCTCCTGTCCTGGAATTGCTGGTGCATGTTAACAGTAGGAGTTAGTCAGCTGGCCGTCCTGGAACACGTCTGGCTTTCTTTCAGGCACATTTTTCAAAAGAACGAGGGATAACTAGGTCATAACTTTCACTATGTTCCTTGAGACATGTTGGATGCCTGTGCTCTTACGCCCTGCAAAAAACAACTGCAAGACGGCTCCCTTTTGGCACTTGTGTCTTCCTCCACAAATCTGAGCACTCCCCAGTGTGATTGCTCTCTGAGTCATTAGATGTTTAGATTCTGCATGTAATGGTCAATAGGAGGTCTTCTTAGGTTATAAAGGAAAATGAAAGGATTTTTTTTCAGACAACCTGCTATCATGATTCCTCTTTAGAACTTGATGTCTAACATTTGTGCTGTAAGAGCGTGCTGTTATATTCATGGCAAGTAGACATGGTTTCAAAATTACATCAGAATAAGAAAAGCCTTTGTAAGGAGATCTGTGGCTATCCTTTGCTGGACACCTTCAGGGTGAGCTAGGTGACCTTCCATTCCAGATGCCAATGTAACAATAGGCTAAATGACCTCTGAAGACCCAACCCAACTGTAGGACACAAATTGCCTTGTAAGTCCATTCACCTGGAACTTTTCCATTTAATTTCAGTGTCAATGTTCATGGAACTTTAAAGGTGACAAAAGAAAACCCATTTTGGATTTATGCAATGGCTGGGTTTGTGTTAGAATGCTTTCCCTCCTACCACATGTCAGAAATTGTCGTATATGCTAAGTGTTGTTAGAGCACCAAAACCAGCTCAGTGCTTGTGTAGGACATTTCTACATCTACATACTGCTAGTGACTCCTGAATATGTATTGATTATGTAAAACCTCCGCCTGTTGTTTAAAGATACGTTGAGTTATTTTATGCCAAAACAAAAACACATTTCTCAACGGAGATAAGTTGTTATCCTGGAATCTTCTTCCTTTCCTCC